TTCTTGAAAAATTACTGTCCGGATAAACGAGTCATTTTTCAATGAGCTATTCCATTTCGTAGTAGAAATCGACCGTCTGGATGCAGAACACAAATTTCCGGATTAATAGGACAAAATACCGAGGAAAAAATTGGTTCCAAAAAAATGTGAAGCGTCCGGATAAACGCAGCGCCACTGTATCTGATACAATTAACCAGTTAATGGGTCAGAACATCTTGCTGTTAACAGATTGGCAAATCTGTATTTGATTGCCATCACTACTCCATATATGCCAGTAAACTGGCATATATGTGTTTTTCCAAGATAAATAAATATAAAAGCATTGTTCACCAATTGGGAAAAAATACTGCCAAATTGGGAAAAACTGAACTCATTTTCAATTGGGAATGGGGCCGAATTTCGGCGCCCCTGAGAAGGTACTGACAAGTCCCTGAAAGGGGAGGGGGAATGATTTGAACAAACTTGAATCTACACTAATTGAGGATGCCTCCATATTTCTTTGACAAATCATGGCTTAAGAAGATTTTTTATAAAATTTCCCATAAGTTTTATCTTCTATTGTGTCAATGCCCTACCCTCAGGGGACATAATCCTTGCTGTTCTTCAGATTTTTAAAGATTTTTCCAATGTATATCTGGCCCAACCCTACTCCTGGGGGCCATGATTAGAACAAACTTGAATCTACACTACCTAAGGATTCTTCCATATAAATATGACTATTCATGGCTTCCCTTTTTTTAAAAAGAAGTTTTTTAATGATTACTCCTATGTACATCTATGTAAACCTTTGATCATCCATTGTAACCCCACCATACCCCTGGGGGTCATGATTTGAACAAACTTAAATCTACACTACCTAAGGATGCTTCCATATAAAATAAAACATGTTTAATCATTGCTCTGCTGTTCTTGAGAAGAAGATTATAAAAGATTTTTCCTATATATTCCTATGTAAAACTTTAATCATCCATTATGGCCCCCACTTACCCCTAGGGGTCATTTGAACAAACCTGAATCTACACTACCTTCGGATGTTTCCATATAAGTTTCATCTTTCCTGGCCCAGTGGTTCTTGAGAAGATTTTTAAAACATGCCACCATATTTTCACTATTTCTTAATTATCTCCCCTTGAAAGAGGGAGTGGCCCTTCATTTGAACAAACTTGAATCCTCCTCACCGAAGGATTCTTTGTGGCAAGTTTGGTCAAAATTGACCCAGTGGTTCTGGAGATGATGAAATTGTGAGAAGTTAACTACTACGACGACAATGACGACAACAACAACAGACAACAGACAAATTTTGATCAGAAAAGCTCACATGAGCTTCTGGCTCAGATGAGCTAAAATGGCTGGAAAACGTAAGATATGTCAGACTAGTTTTATAGTAACTTCAATAGGGGTGTGCAATATTACCAGTTTGCAATATTCAAAGTAAAATATGCAATATATCGCAATATGGTTTTCACTTGAAATACCCAATTCTAAACTTCAATCCCAATTGAGTTTGATGAATGGGATCTTCATTCTAATGATCAGAATCAAAGTTAACTAATTTACACACTGCATGTTTTTCATTTTGAATTTCCCATAAAAAATTGACAAGAGATTTTAACTTTGATTTCACATCAGCAACTAAAAAAAAAATCTTTCCAGAAAAAATCCAATCAGAGAAATGGCCAGCAATAATCACTTGTCCATGAATTTTCACTGGTACCAGACAAGCACTGATAACTGATAACATTTTAAGTATATCATTTTATTAAAAATGTTAAAGCATTAATGAATTGTGCATAGCAGGATGCATAGCTGTGATGCATAGCAGGGATCGTGAATGCATGATGGTACCACCACGCAAACAACACCTGGAGAAACACTGGACTGTGTAGCATAAGCTAAGTTGACTTAATGGAGGTGAGCCAAAAGAAAATATACAGAAACAAGTGAGGTGTTAATGAAGTCCACTTGTTTACCATATTTTATGGAAATCAAACTGTAATAATGTCAACAAGAGGCCCATGGGCCACAAAGCTCACCAGAATAACTTTGGCCTTGCTGTTTTTCACCTGATTTCCCCCCTTTGTAGTACTTATTGTGGCCCCGCCCTACCCCAGGGAGTCATGATTTGAACAATTTAGAATCTACACTACCCCAGGATGCTGCCACTTAAGTTTCAGCCTCTGGCTCAGTGGTTCTTGATAAGATTTTTTATAGATTTTTCTTAAATATTTCAATGTGAAACTCCCAGGGGTCACGATTTGAACAATTTAGAATCTACACTACCCCAGAATGCCTCACATTAGTTTCAGCTTTTCTTGCCCAGTGGTTCTTGAGAATAAGATTTTTAAAGATTATTTCTACATATTTCAATGCAAAACTTGGATTCCCTATTGTGGCCCCGCCCTACTCCCGGGGGTCATGTTTTGAACAATTCAGAATCTACACTACCCCAGAATGCTTCCACATAATTTTCAGCTTTTCTGGCCCAGTGGTTCTTGAGAAGAAGATTTTTAAAGATTTTTACTACATATTTCAATGTAAAACTTGGATTCCCTATTGTGGTCCTGCCCTACCCCCAGGGGCAGGGATGGGGTAATGGTAATGTGTAATGGTAATTGACAGTAATTAATTACAAATTTTGATGTAATTGAAAGTAATGACTAATTGGCCCGATTTTCAATTACATGTAATTGTAATTTAATTAATTACTTTTGAGAAAAGCAAGTAATTCACAATTACTTTTCAATTACATTCAATTACACTGGTGTTTAATAAATGAGAAATAGTCCCCCTCTCCTTTTTTCAAATTCCAAACACTTTATTCAAGAAATGTTAACTGATTTTTAGGACAAAATGTTCTATATTTAAAAAAAATTATATATTTTCCTTATTTAGTGAATTGCTGTTTCCTCTTTAAAATGCATTTTCTTCAAAACTTTTTAATATTATTTATCTCCTTGTTAATAAATATATTAAATAAAATTAATAATTTCAATTAAGTTGTTTATGAATTGAAACTTAAAATATCTAGTCCAATCAGGGTTAGAAACTCCCTAAAATTACAACTCGCAAATAATTGCGAGTACCAAGAAAGTGAACTCGCAATTTTATAAGACTACTCGCAATTTTCATAAAAAGTTAAATTTATATAAATTAAATACATGTAACTTAAGGAAAAAGTAACTACTGTACAATACACAAAATACAACTACAGTGTGACTTTTATTTAAATTACTGATTTAAATCAAAAGCATTGTGTTCTGCCATATTATATAATTTTGCTACAGTTTCAATGCAAAAAAAATCAACTCGCAAGTTTTTGCGAGTTACCTAATTTTTAACTTGCAATTTGGGAATTCTTACTCGTGTTTTGCGAGTTGTATATAGTGAATTTCGAACCCTGCCAATGGCTTCTAATCCTTTGTTTGCCATACCTACAGCTTGTGTAAGAAGTGATTAACAGGTGCTAATTAGTTCCCTAGGGTTATATACATATTAACACTTGACTTAAATAGAGATTTTACACATATTTTGACTTTACCTATTGGTAGTTTTATACACATACATTGACTATGTCTTCCCACAAATCTTTATTAAAATATATAATTTGGTGTTATAACGCCAATTTTTCTATTTTAATAAAAATTTGTGGGAATATAGTAGTTTAACACACAATATGTCAAATACTATTATAACATTTTGAGATGTATAGCCTAGGATGATGAAAAAAGCAGGAAACAAGGAAAAATGCATCCATTGTTTTGCATAAATATATCAGAAAGCTAAAAACCCAACACATGAATTAATGGAGCATCCAGGTCCTGTAAAAGGACCATGTCCCTGTTGAAAATTGGCTCTTTTTTCCCAAAATTCAGGTAACAATTCCCAACTGATGACCAAATTCAATTTTTTGATGCTGTTTATACATAGAAATAACATTTCAAATTTTAATCATCTTTAAACATATATATCATGTATATATGGGGAACAAGTCCACTATTTAACTCTTAAATCAACAAATAAATATAAGCTAACATTTTCTTATTTTGCCACTTTTTCGATTAAAAGGGTACAGGACCCTGTACCAAAAAGGGTCAATTAAGCCCTGAAACTTTCTATATTAGACAGTATTTATTTATTCCTGTCACAAATACCCCAGTGCAAAATATCTTCAGTGTGGCAGAAAAATCTTTAAACCTGATACATGTAGGTTAGGGGACACAATATTTTAAAATTTCATTAACATCTGAACAATGTTAATGTAAAAAATAGTAACTGAATCCATATGAATATAAATGAACGTTCATGACTATTTATCATTGTTTATTTTTATATGTTTTTTCTTAATGTAATTTGTAATTCAATTAATTACATTTGCAAAGTGATTGTAATTTAATTAATTACATTTCAAAATCCTTGTAATGGTAATGGTAATTTAATTGAAGGTTTTGGGCAAGTTATTGTAATTAAATTAATTACTTTTCTATGTAATTGACCCCATCCCTGCCCGGGGGTCATGATTTGAACGATTTAGAATCTACACTACCCCAGGATGTTTCCACATAAGTTTCAGCTTTTCTGCCCCAGTGGTTCTTATTTTGAAGATTTAATGACCCCACCCAATTTTTGTCTTTTCTTGATTATCTCCCCTTTGAAGGGGACTTGGCCCTTCATTTTAACAATTTAAACTCCCCTTCACCCTTTCAAGGATGCTTTGTAATAAGTTTGGTTAAAATTGGCCCAGTGGTTATTGAGAAGAAGTTGAAAATGTGAAAAGTTTACAGGTGAGCTAAAAACTGGAACTTTTTTTTAACCTTGAGATACAAACCAGAGATCTCAGATAGTTAGACAGATGGGCAGACAGACAACAGATGATGGGTGATCAGAAAAGCTACTTCAGGTGAGCTAAAAAGAACATTTATCTCTATAAAAATCATCTGCCAAAGAAAGCAGTGTCATACAGACAACACACATCACTAACATTTCTGAAGAATACAACTTACTGATATGGTAAAAAACAGAATGGAATCTGTGATTTCAACACGAATGATCTCTCAATGAATGGTAGTCATTCCTCCTAGATAATCAATGCGCTCTCTACAAGAAAAATGTTTTTAAAATTTCTTTAATAGTAATTTGTAAATTTGAAAAACAACAAGGGCCTTACCTTCCATCTAAGTATTATTAGTTTTTTCTACCTATGACTACTTTGGGCCCACCTGAGCTTTTCTTAGACTTGTATTTTTATATCTTTTAGTTTGATAAGAACTCTTTATTTGTTATGAACTTATCATACAACGGACTAACCTTATTGTCAAACCCTAGTCTTACACTAACATATTTTCATTCGGACTAATAAAATAATAATAATAACTAGAAACTTATTGCCATGGCAACAAGAAGGTCTTCCATCCCTTTTCTGTCATGAGAGAAGACTTGATTCCTCACTCACAACAGTATCTGTAATACGTTGTGCATTCCTACATGAAATACTATAAAATGTAAATTGTAAACTATACTGCGTAATTTGAACGGAAAATTATACCAGATATCATTTCATAGATACAGTATTATATTTCAAAACAAGAGGCCCAAGGGCCACATCGCTCACCTGAGCACTGTGGCTAGGAAAAAAGGAAAAATCAGTTTAGTATTGAAAAGCTTAAATGATAAGTGGTCTCAACCTACTCCTAAAAAGGGAGTGGGGGGGGGGGGGGTCATGATTTGAACAAACTTGAATCTACAATATCTGAGGATGCTTCCACATAAATATGACAAACCGTGGCTTTGCTGTTCTTGAGATTTTTAAAGATTTTTCCTATATATTCCTATGTAAAACTTTGATCGTCCAATGTGGCCCCATCCTATCCCCGGGGGTCATGATTTGAACAAACTTGAATCTACACCACCTGAGGATGCTTCCACATAAATATGACCAATCATAGCTTTGCTGTTCTTGAGAAGAAGATTTTTGAAGATTTTTCCTATGTACACCTATGTTAAACATTGATCGTCCATTTTGGCCCCACCCTACCCCTGGGGGTCATGATTTGAACAAACTTGAATCTACACCACCTGAGGATGCTTCCATATAAATATGACCAATCATAGCTTTGCTGTTCTTGAGAAGATTTTTAAAGATTTTTCCTATATATTCCTATGTAAAACTTTGATCGTCCAATGTGGCCCCACCCTACCCCCGGGGGTCATGATTTGTACAAACTTGAATCTACATCACCTGAGGATGCTTCCAAATAAATATGACCAATCAAAGCTTTGCTGTTCTTGAGAAGATGATTTTTGAAGATTTTTTCCTATGTACACCTATGTTAAACATTGATCGTCTATTTTGGCCCCACCCTACCCCTGGGGGTCATGATTTGAACAAACTTGAATCTACACCACCTGAGGATGCTTCCATATAAATATGACCAATCATAGCTTTGCTGTTCTTGAGAAGAAGATTTTTGAAGATTTTTCCTATATATTCCTATGTAAAACTTTGATCATCCAATGTGGCCCCACCCTACCCCCGGGGGTCATGATTTGTACAAACTTGAATCTACACCACCTGAGGATGCTTCCAAATAAATATGACCAATCATAGCTTCGCTGTTCTTGAGAAGAAGATTTTTGAAGATTTTTCCTATATATTCCTATGTAAAACTTTGATCGTCCATTGTGGCCCCACCCTATCCCCGGGGGTCATGATTTGAACAAACTTGAATCTACACTACCTGACAATAGTTCCACATGAGTTTCATCTTTCCTGGCCCACTGGTTCTTGAGAAGAAGATTTTTCAATAATGCCATTAATTTTTTGCTATTTCGTAATTATCTCCCCTTGGAGGAGGGCGTGGCCCTTCATTTGAACAAACTTGAAACTCCTTCACCCAAGGATACTTTGTGCCAAGTTTGATTGAAATTGGCCCAGTAGTTCTGGAGAAGAAGATGAAAATGTGAAAAGTTTACGACAACAACGACGCCGACGCCGCCGACGCCGACGACAGACAACGGACAAATTTTGATCAGAAAAGCTCACTTGAGCCTTCGGCTCAGGTGAGCTAAAAAGTACAAAAAAATCCAGACATTCTGGGGATTGAGTCCAGGTTGCCCACGTGAAAATTGATCACTAACGCTAGTGGGACCATTTTTTATGAGAGTCTCTAGTATCCCCAGTAAAATAATTAAGAAATATTGAAAGATAAAAAACTTGAAAAAATTGTCTTTTTTAATTCGCTTTGTGATGTATAAAGTTCTTTGTGATGTATAAAGTTCATATCATTGCCCATTAACTCTTAAAATTTCACTTAAATCCAAAAAATACTGTTTGAGAAATCGCCTGCACAATTGGGGGGGGGGGGGGGGGGGAATAATATCTGGAATATGGATAAATTAAGTTTAAACCAAATTATATATTTAGATTTCAAATGAAAGTCTCCATTATCCCTACTAATATTATTAAAAGAATTGGAAAAACAAAAAAGTTGGAAAAATTGACTTTTGAAATTCGCTTCCGGTGGCAACCGGAAGTTAAGACGAAGCAAAAAAAAAAAGGATTTGAAATCTACAACTCATGCTTCATCATCTTTGACATGTATCCAGTTCATATCTTTAGCTATTCTGGAGGAGTTGTGAAAACAAAAATCCATTTTAAAATCAGGAAATTGGCCATGACATGGAACCGGAAGGGAATTTTCCAAATTTTCTTTGTGATAAACAAAGATCATTTCATTGCCCATTGCCTCTTAAAGTTTCACTTAAATCCAATAAATACTGTTTGAGAAATCGCCTGCACATTTTTTTTGGGGGGGGGGGGGGGGAGGAGGGAGATAATAACTGGAATATAGATAAACTAATTTTAAACCAAATGATATATTTAATTTTCAAATGAAAGTCTCTATAATCCTACTAATATCAGTAAAAGAATTGGAAAAGCAAAAAAGTTGGAAAAATTGACTTTTGAAATTGCTTCCGGTGGCGACCGGAAGTAATGACAACGCCAAATAAAATAACGTTGCAGATCTACAACTCATGTTCTATTATCTTTGACATGTCTCCAGTTCATATCTTTAGCCGTTCTGGAGGAGATGCGAAGACAAAAATCCATTTTAAAATCAGGAAATTGGGCATAACATGGAACCGGTAGGGAATTTTCCAATTTTTTTGGTGATGAACAAAGATCATATCATTGTCCATTACCTCTGAAAGTTTCAAGGAAATCCAGTGAATACTGTTTAAGAAATCGCGTGCACAAATATTTGGGAAAAAAAGAATAATAATAATAAGAAACAATAGAATCACTATAAGGTCTTCCATGAAGACGAAAGACCTTAATAATAACTAGAACTTGTTGCCATGGCAACAAGAGGGTCTTCCGTCCCTTCTCCATCATGAGAGAAGTTGATTTCTCACTCATAACACTATCTGTATTACGTTGTGCATTCCTTTGAACTCCTTCATACATGAAATACTATAAAATGTAAATTGTAAAATATATTGCGTAATTCGAACGGAACATTATACCAGATATCATTTCAAAGATACAGTATTATATTTCAGCTGAAAAAAGGTACAAAAAGGTAAAAAAAAAAAATCCAGACATTCTGGGAATTGAGTCCAGGTTGCCTGTGTGAAAATTGAACACCCTAACCATTATGCTAGTGGGACCATTTCTTATAAGAGTCTCTATCATCCCTTATAAAAAAGTTGAAAAATTTGATTTTTTTAAAATTCGCTTCTGGTAGCGACCGGAACTACTAACGACGCACAAAAAGGCGATTACGCAAATCTAGAAGTCATGTTCTATCATCTCTAATAAGTCTCCAGTTCATATCTTTAGCCGTTCTTTAGATCTGCCGCAGAATAAAATTTCATTTAAAAATCAGGAAATTGCCCGTAACATGGAATCAGAAGTGAATTTTACAAAATTCTTTCAAAAGTAACAATGGCTTTTAAAAACACATTATCCCTGAAAATTTGACGAAAAACCACTGAATAGTTCTCGAGATATCACGTGCATAATATTTGTCTAAAAAATATTAATAATCATTATAATATTTATTATCAATTTTTTAAACAAATTATACATTATGCATTCTGAAAAATGTTTCTATTAACCCTACTAATATCATCAAAATATATTGAAAAACAAAAAAGTTGAAAAATTTGACTTTTTAAATTCGCTTCTGGTAGCGACCGAAAGTTGTGACGACGAACGAAAAGGCGATTCTGGTAATCTTGAAGACAGGTTCTATAATCTCTAATAAGTCTCCAGTTCATACCTTTAGTTGTTCTATAGATATGCCGCACACAAAATTCCATTAAAAAATCAGGAATTTGTGCATAATTTGGAACCGGAAGCGAATTTTCCAAATTTTCCTTGTGATGAACATACAAAATTTGGTAAAAAAAAAAAAAGAATAATAACTAGATGCGTTTCTTGTTGCTAGGGCAACAAGTGGTCTTCCAACCAAACTTTTCTCCAGAATGCCATGCTACCTCACTTCATTTAATACTTTATTGAAGGTATTTTTCGTTTGCGTTTATGTAACACAGTCTTTCAACATAGATCATGATTATTAAAGGATTTCTGTAGAATCAGCAAAAACTATCTTCACAGAGAAAAATATCATTTACAACTGAAACAAGAGGCCCAAGGGCCTTAATGGTCACCTGAGTACAACAATTTAGAGGATCCATAAACTGATAAATGAAGCTTTGTTGCCCAATAGCAAGGAAAATAGTAAAATTAAGATCAACAAAATAATTGGTCTAGTATCTTTCTACCTGTCCCCCATTTAATCACTATTACCATGTAGACTTTTAACAAAATGTCTCTATCATTATCTCTCACATTGGCCTCACTTGGCCTTTGAAAACAATTTAAAAAGAAGTTATTTTTGTTTCATTTTTATTCATCTATTATTTCCAAGTCTACCTGATTATTAAAACTATGAAAGTACTTTCTGAATTATACAATTAATGTTCTTGCATAATTCTCTTATTCTATTAACATTTCAAATACATTATCTACAGTGATTAATTATCAAAGATGAATGG